AGTTAAACCTGTGTGTAATGATACTCAAACATCCATCTTGGCCTTGCTGCGACACACTTCGCTGATTTTTATAATGAATGGCCTCTTTTCGAGAAGGAAACGCGTCAACGTGCAGTTTTGATGCAGTGAATCCACCAACAGTTTGTGTAATTGTCCATCGCCAGATTGTTTTTGGAGGATGATAATTTCAGTAATTTGTATTCAGATCGAGGGCCAGTCCTGGTCCTTGAGGGCCACTCTGTCCTGCATATTTTAGTTCTTCAGCATCCCTTCAACATGGAAAAAATCATCTTAAAATAAGTGTAAAATACCAGATTATAGTTTGAATCTTCTCAAATTAAGCGAAATCATCTGGAAATTCTTGAAATAAGATTAAAAATCAAATATATTCTGCCCGTTACCTCAAAACAGAATCAAAACTACTTTTTTACTGCATATAAGATTGCAAGACTTGGTTAGATGAAGAGTTTTGCAGTAAAATTCTGCAGAAACCTGACTCTTTCTTTCAAATCAGATGTGGCAAAAAGAAGCATCTCAAATTTTTGAGTTCCTAACCAGATAGATAGATAGATAGATAGATAGATAGATAGATAGATAGATAGATAGATAGATAGATAGATAGATAGATAGATAGATAGATAGATAGATAGANGTACAAAAAGGTTCCTAACCATTCAAGAGGCAGTCATACCAATGCTTCCAAAGCACAGATGAGTATTTTACTGCACTATATGTAACATTAGTCAAGTGTAAAATAATTCTATTATTGGACATATTTAAATGACAAATAAATTTGTACATAAGCTTTCTTAAAACAGCCATAAATGAGCTGACATAAGCAGCTACAAACAGTTCACTGGCACTGGACCATCTGGGTTTTTTTAACAAAAGTCTTAGTGCATCATTATAAGCCACATTCAGTCTATGAAGACTGGCTTTTTTAAAATTGCACCACAAGTGTGCCGTATATAGAGAAGTACAATATGATCTGAACAAGTTCAGTTTCACTTTCATCCTTAATCCAATAGATTAAGGATGGAAAATAATCCTTGGACGAAGGGAAACATAAAACTTGAGATGTTTTTCTGCTTTGATGCACCTGATTTAAATGAATTAATGATTAACAGACTTGTGCAGAGCTTAAAAACGCGCTGAAGAGAAAAGGAAACAACTGAAATATGCAGGACATTTGAACCGTTTTTGCTGCAGAAACCAGCAAATGATAATAATTACCACCACTTCATCAGCGTTTATGGTGTTTATTAAAAAGGATTAAAGACAAATTTGAAAGTGCAATTTATGAGGATTTTTTTTTTCCAATTTCCTTTTTAAACAACCTGCCCTGCCACTTTCTGTATTTACCACCTGGATTATAACAGATTGCCTGCAGCTTTCACCAATAAAACCAATGTTTTCTTGGGGAATGCAGCTGTGTAGCATATGAAGCTCATTTTCTTTTCACAGCTACAAAACCAGATAAAAAGATTTAGTAAAAAAGTTGGCCTTGTTTTAGAGATTTATAAGTTGTTTGCATTGAAAGGTGAAATCCTGCCTTTCTATCCCACTTATACAGACTGAACCCTTTGCTGTGGAGGTGATAGACTCCAGGTTTTGTATTTTCTGTACAATAACAAGGTTTTTATCCATAAAATGTTCACAGTATCTTTGCTATGAAGTGAGATAACCCCTGGAAAGATTTCACATTTTGGACTGCTGTGATCTGCAGCCAAGCTACCAAGCAGACCGTTCAAAGATCCAGTAAGCTGGCAGACAAATTGCTCTCTCTGTCCCCTGACGCCATCTTTTTTTCTTTTTCTTTATTTGTTGTACAAACAAGTGTCTGCCATGCTCTTCACTTACCTGAGCACAAGTAAACCTGTCAAGTGGTTGTAGAAATTAGTTTTCTTGTTTTTGGTTTTTGGAACATACTGTTTTCTGTTGAATGATTTTTTTTTTTAAATTTCGGGTTGGGTTTGATGCATCAACATGGTGCAATAAATCAGCCACAAGTCGAGGCCTGCGAGGTGTTTTCGTCTTGTAAAAATGACACGAGGTGCATTTCTTGACGTGTTGGTGTTGCTGCAAACTTGTTACTGTCTCACTTTTTTAATGTGGTAATGTGAATATGTGTGTGCTTGTTAGTCTGACTGTTAGCAATCTGTGTCAGAACCACTGGAGACATAAGAAAACTCTTGAAGTCATCAGTAAATGTACATTTTACCCATTTCAAGATGGCTGCTATGACTAACTAACTTTAGTAAACATAAAATGGTTTTAACATTTTTACAAGTTTTGACTTTAAGTTTGTTGTGGTAGTAGCTGAGACTCTTCTCCAACATGTGATCTGGGTGCTAATGTACGTCACAAGATCTTTGGCCGTGGGCGATATACATACCATCAAGAAATTCTACTTTTATTTTAGTTTTTTTTTCGCTCACATTTCTTTGACTGATTGTGTTTTTTTTTTTGCTGACATCAGGTTAATAGCAGGTAATTGAGGGAACATCCACAATAAAACCATTTTTATGAATAAACAAGTTATTTTTTTATTGTTTTAGCCAAATGTAAACTTAGTTTTCTGAGCCTCAAACTCAACCTTTTTGAAAATGATGTCATAGCCACACCTGTAATAAAACCTACGACCCAAAACTGAATGTTTCCTTGTCTTGTTTCCTGTTTTTGGTGTACTTTTCTAGCCTAACAGCGCCACGTGCAGGCCTGGCATGGTTACTGCAGTAGTGTGCTGTGTTTTTGTGTGGATAAATAAATATATTTCTTGAAATATTGCTGGGTTCAAAAGTATATTTTTAGAAACAACATAAAAAAACTGTGTGTGAATGGGTTGACCAGACTGAGGCTGAGACTGTGAGCACAGATTGAGTTTCCAGATGAGACAGCGGTGTCTGTCGAGACACTGATGTAGTCCGAAGGCTCCAAGTCGTCTTATTGGGCCGACATTCTACCCTCAGCTGTCAGAGAGGGTTTGTGTTTGACCTCTGGAGTTGTCGCACACACTCAAAGGAGGTAAAATGTTATCTTTTCTCAAGTCTCCGTATCTCTGTGCAGTGAAGTCATTGTTTGCTCAAAAGGTTTTCATCAGCTTTAAACTCAGCGGAATGACTCGGTTTAATTATTTGTGGTGTCTTTTGGTGCAGCAGGAAGTAACGAGCATGGTCGTGCGAGACTTTGTTCCATTCTCAACATACACATTCAAAAAAGAATCAGAATCTAGTTTGATGCATGTGGTGCAGCTCATGCTCTTTTTAACGTTTCAAAGCTTGATTCAGGATTTTATGCAAGGCATCCTTTTTGTGTTTGTAGTTGCTTGAAACAGCTGAACAATGCAGAGAGTTACTCCCTACATGGCTGCAGTTTTTTTTTTTTTTTTTTTGTTCCTGGGGTAGGTTTCTGTCTCTGATGTGGAAAGTGAGTCTCGGGAATGGTTTATCCTCTCTTTGATGTTAAGAGCTGCACCGATGGCTGAACTCTTGCCAACAGTTCATGCACATGTTTCGGTCTGTAATGCATCTTTTCTCTCTAATATCACAATGTCGTACAGAAGGTATTGAATTTAGAGCAAAGGATGTCTGCAAAATGCCAAAGTATAAATCCTGTGCGTGTTATTAATGGAACAACGGGGTCAGTGTGAGTTTAGTCCAGACCCACCCTCTGTAAATTCACTGCAGAGCTGCTTTTACTGTACCTTTGTCCCGTGCCCCTCCTTTAAACAGTTTGTTCTGTAAAACACTATGATGTTTGTTTACTCTGTCATGTTTAACAGCAAATGTTTTTCTTTTATACTCCAAAAATGTAAAAATGGTCCATCTTTTTATTTTTGTCAAAGTTAATCTCTGTAGCCAAGGCAGTTAAACGCTGTCCTGTAGAACCTGCTGCAGCTTCCAGTTCCTCATCATGGACCTCTTGGAGAAAAGCTTAATGTGCTAAAAGCACCAGAAACTCCAGGAAACAGTTGAAATCATCAGTGATAAACTATCTGTTTAAAGAAATATAAAACTAGTTAGCTAGAGATTATTTATTATGGTTGCTTGGTCAGCTCGTTATAAAGTAAAACGTGTTTATTCATCCCATTATTAAACTGTTTAAGGTGGAGCTAGATAGATAGTTTTTTTATAAGAAATTAGCTCAACTAGCTTTTTATTAATAAAAAATAGTCTGCACTTGGTGAAAGAAATGCAAACATAGTTAGCTAGCATTAATGTATTTATTTACAGGCAGCTGCCTATTATTAAAAAGTTATTTAACCATCTTAAATAGTCTGATAATGAGAGTGTTAACCTTCCAGTTTGAGGAAAAAACAACGGACCGTTTTTTTAAAAGTGTAAAATAAAAATGGAACTATCTGTTTTTAAAATGTAAAAAATATAACATCAGTTTTTTGTTTTGTTTTTTTTTTTATCTGTTTTTAAAAGGAAAATAGACAAAAAAAAGCACACAGACCCGTATTATTAAGTAAATCCAACACGTAATTTTAGGACCAACTAACTCGACTGGTTTAGCAAACTAACGTGATTTACTTTGACCTCCCAAAGCATAATAAAGTTGAAGCAACCTAATACTGAAATACATTTTGTTTTGTTTTTGGTAAAATGACATTAAGTTGACAAATGACATTAGTTGAGTTACACTAACTTACTTTTTTACATTTATCCAACTCACAAATATCCGTTCAGTTTCTTATTTAAAGTTCCTAAAGTAACTTTTCATGTTGTACAATGTTAATATTTTCAGTGTATTTAAACATTAAAGTTTTGGAAGTTTTCGTTGTTGTTTTTATTTATTTATTTATTTATTTATCTATTTATTGGGGGCGTACTAACTTTTGAAAGTAATTGTCCAACTCACTTAAACATGTACATAGACAATAATTTTTTTATGCTGAAAAATGCTTTCATGTATGACAACAACCAACACATTAACAGATGTTTTTTTTCCATGCACACACTCCTAACTTCTCCTCTCATCCTTTTTTCTTTCTACAGATGAAGCTGTGGAACAAGTACAAGGTGACCAGCATCCCGTCTCTGGTGTTTGTGGACGCAGCGACAGGAAAGATCGTGTGTCGAAACGGTCTTCTGGTGGTCAGAGATGACCCCAAAGGTAGCTAGAAGTCTCTCACACACCATAATGACAGAGGAGCCTTCTTCATGACTCAGTTTTATTTCCTCACCTCAAGCTCTGACCTTAAATCTCTTTGCTTACTGGTTAACCTCAACCATCCAACCCTGAAAAGACGCTTTTTAGTCCAGGAAAAGGAACACAGTTGAGGTTCAAAAGGACAAGAGGAACATGTGAAAACTTGTGTGTGAGATCCTTGTTTTTGTCGCCTAAAATCACTTCACAAAAGACGGCTGTCTTCCATTAGACAGGAGCAGGACAGCATCATCTGCACACAACATGAACAGTTAAATAAAGTAACCAGTAAAAACTAATTAATAGCACAAACTCACATCTTGACAACCTGGGCTTGAACCTGCAGCCTCAGGATTATTCCAAGCAGTATTTCAGGTGAAAAAAACAAAACAAAAAAACTGTAATAACAAATTAAAATAGTGAACAATAAGGGCTGATTGTGTCAAATTTGTAAAAGCTATTATTAATAATATGAACAAATTTGTTATTTTAGAGTGTATATAATCTATCTGTATATAAAAATGTCAGAAAGCTGTAAGTTGTGGATGTACCAACAGAAGAGAAACAGGAACACGTCTCATTTCATAAGCAGATTTGTTCTTATTTACCTCGATGTGGATGTGATCTGAGCAGAACTGAAGCTAATAATTTAACAGTTTAAAATTAAAATAAGCTTATAAAGCCAATGTGATCACTGTTAATTATTTAATTAGTTAGCAGATATTAGGGCTGTGTATTGGCAAGAATTTGGCGATACGATACATATCATGACAGAGGGGTCATGATACGATATATCCCGATATATTGCGATACTGTAAGCAAGGCAATATATTGTGATATTTTTGTCCAAAAATTCTATTAAATAAAAACCTCTTACAGGGGAAAAAAATGAAAAACCAAAATTCATTGTCTCAGAAAATTCTAATATTACATCAACATGCTTTTGATACATTTAGCTGTGTTCTGCTTTGTATGTATTTTATTTTATTTGTTTCATATTTCTTTTTTCATCCATGTTTTCAACTATTAGACTAAATTTGACAATAAATAGTTTGAAAATATATTTTTTGCAGCTTTTAGTTTTTAATATTAATTTACAATATGGTCACCCAACACTTAATAGCCTCTACCTCAAG